TTCAATCATCTTTTTTTTACTTTATATTTTTTTAATGGAAAATTTGATAAATTTTGCGCGACCTTGACTTTTTTCAAGTCACAATGCCCATTGGAAAACGATTCGAAATGAGTTTTCAAGAATAAAAAGAAAAACGAAGCCTCGATTCGCGAAACGAATCGATAGCAACGTTTACCGAATAAAACCGATTTTTTTCTTTTCATATTTTAATTCAGGAAAAAACGTTTCGAATGACAAAAAATCGGCACAATCGGACAGAATTCCGTTAAAAGGGTTCGTTCGTACAAGAGGAAGCATAATTACGAAAATAAAATCAATTAATCGGAGCGTACAAATTATTTGGCATTAATCTGCCAGTTCGGTAAACGCTTTGTACGAGTGTGCGTCCGCCATTTTCTTCGAAAGGGCTCAACATCACATTGCTTGTCTATATTTTATATTTTCGTTATTATCGCGGGATTCTGTGCACGTGTACGTCGGTTCGGTGCAGGGAAAAGGGTTATCATCTAAATCATCGTCCTTTGATTACAGGACATGCTCCCGAATTCTTATTAAATCCAGGAACACGCGTTCTTTCCACGCGCGCGTACACGCCGCGTGCATGTGTGCGTCACCAGTGGTTCTTAACCGCTATTTGTGTTTTTATGCTATTACTCTATCATAAATGCACAAAATCAGCAGACTAGGTATAATGATCTAATAAATAAAGTGAGTTGAAGTTTGTATACTAATTACAAAGTTATTTTTACATAAATAACATTCTAGGTATCGCTCTGCCACTTGGTTTACTGTATGGACGTATACTTCTGGTATGAATATCTACTTTGAAAGCATTTGGTTTTGCTATTTAGTAAAATGGGTAGAAGAGTAAGGTGTTTGTTTCTTGTTTGCTATATATGCTAACAAATTGATAATAAAGTTTGAAATAAAAACATTCTGAATACTAGACGAAACAAAATATTTTGCATCGAGTATATGTAAACGAGAAATACAAATGTTTCACTGCACGCGTACATGTGTGTTTATTTATTAAACGTATATGCAAGTACGTGTAGTTCAAATATAAACGTCAACCTGTAAAACGGAATTCTGTTAGTTAATTCTAGAAGTCAAAGTTATTGCATTCGTTCAAATTCATTCATGGATCGTCTTGAAATAGTTCTATAGTTCTTAAAATTGTTACCGTAATCTTGAAACTGTGAGTATTTATCCATACTTTTATTTATTTCTATTTCAATTCCTTTTCTATCTTCATCTGTAGCCTAGTAATCATTCATGATTAGGAACCATGTCAGATTTTCTTAAAGTTAAGAACCACTGGTCCACACGAACGCACCTGTGTGAGACAAGAGAGGTTCCATGTGTGCGTGTGTGGACATCGGTGCACGCCAGATGTTCGTAAAACCGAATGAAACGTTACAAAATCGTTTCGAGATTCTGTTCCAACAGGAATTAAAAGCTATTCGAATCAAAGTTTTTCAGCAGGCGATCCTCGCGTGTATCGAAATGCATTGTTCGCGAGGAGAGCCGTTAAAGTAGATTAAGAGCGTGCTAAGACGCGGTTCGGCGCGACGAACGAACGCGTGTTTTCATGAATTTCTTTAAGTACGAAACCGGACCATATATCGAATACACAGGCTCGATTGCACGATACATCGTCGATCACTAATTATGTAAGGAAACGCTTTGAAAATCGCGCGAAGCGTTTCCGAGGAATAATGCTTGTAAAAAATCACGAGGCAATATCAAGATGTCACGATCGAGAATCTCGCGATACTTGCCGAGATTTCGCGTTGACAGTGATTTAACATCGACGAAACACCGAGAACAATGCAATTTCTGTCGCAGCTACTGGATGTAAACAATAACCTATATCCGTACTTGTATTCGGCCGTGTTTGCATGAGGATTAAACGTACCATGGTTGCAGTCTATCGAAAGCATCATTATCGAAGGCTTCGGTTGTTTGACAATTCAAAGGTTAGCTTGTTTCTCGGGTAGGGAAAGGAATCGTTCGCGGATCGCGATGAAATTCCGCCAAATGGTCCGGGTAGCATGACACCGAGTCTAACCAAAGCGTAGATCAGTTAAAAATTGCGGTAAAATGCGTGGACGGGAAAATAACAACGCGTGGAAAAATACAGAGGTGCCGATTGACATGGCAGCCATCGGTACGAAAAGCGCGCGTCCTGCGTGTGCCCGAGGACACACAACTTTCCGGTAGTATTCGTGAGCAGAGCAGCCCGTGCACTTACCCGCGTAGCTCTCGTCCACCTCCTCGTCGGACGCCATGCTCCAAAACCACGGGATTGATAACGAATGCTCTCGATCGCCACCGGGATATCTCGCTCTCGCAGGAGAGGGAACACACCACGGGAATTAAAGCGACATTAAACGAGGCTCGCGTTCGTTGTTTCGCCGCTTTCTTGCGTTTCTTTCACAATTTCGGCGTGCCGTCACTCTCATCTAATACCGTGCACCGATGTGCACCTACTGCCGTACGCTTCTTCTTTCACGCGATTCGTCGGTTCTCCTCGTTCCTCCCCCCGCCGCTCCGCGATTTTAACTCCCCTCCCCATTCCGTGAAAGAGTCCGTTTCTTCCCCGCTAGCCCTCCCCTTACCCCACCACTAGCCGTCGTCGCGTCCCTTCGCATAGCCCGTTACAGTCAGGACCGGGCCACGAAACAAAAAGCGCCCCAACCAACGCTTTCTCTGATACTAATTCGTTTATTTTATCAATATATAATTTTCTATATAACGTCAAACCGACTCGAGAGACTTTATTTTACGTTAAATATATTTTTTCGAGAAACAAATACTATATTTTACAAAAACATTTACACCCTTCGACGCATATATATATATAACATTTTTATTTTACAATGAAATTGCCTATAAAAATTATTTTTCACTTCCTCGATCTAAATGCAGCATTTTTTGTCAAACAATACGTAGGCGTACCTTTTATTGTTTACGAAAAAAAGAAATTTCTAAAGATCCGAAGAAAAATATGGTTTGAAAAAAAAAGTGATCCGTTGGAAAAATGTTTTAAACAAAAGTAGTACATTTCGATGAGATATGAAATTATCGTCAAATATATTTTTTCGAGAAACGAATACTTTTCGAGATATTTTAGCAAAACGTTTACACCTTTCGGTACGTATATTACATTTTTTTTTTCTTTTATACCGAAATTATCTATAAAAATTATTTTTCACTTCCTCGATCGAAATAAAGCATCTTTTGTCAAACATACGTAGGCGTAACTCGTATTATTTATGAGAAAAAAAATCGATATATGTATCGAGAGGTGTAATCGTTTTACAAAAATATCTGGAAAAGTATTCGTTTCTCGACAAAATATATTTGACGATAATTTCATATCTCGTCGAGATGTACAATTTATGTTTAAACTATTTCTTCAAAGGATCACTTCGTTTTACTTTTGATTGAGGTTTAACACCTGCCTGGTCTGCGACTAGAGCCGGCCCTGATTACAGGCGTGCTTTGTAGCGTCTGTAGCTGCATGTGTGCGAATGAATCTACCGTGTTGCATTTATTATTTTTCTTCACTTTCTGTCTCTTATCCTTATTTATAAATTATATTTTAACGATATCAAAAATCGATGTGGAGTTATTGTAATTGTATTGTAGCCGAGATAAATGTCCCCCCCCCCCCCACCCTCCCCCTTGTAACAGGGGGAGCAGTAATACGCGAAATAATTGAGAACCCCTACCAGATACAAATATATATACAAATGCATATATACAATATTTGGTTTATCGCATATTAATAATCGTACAATTATTACGATAGTACTGTACAGAAAATAGAAATCGTCGAATCGTCCTCTGTCCCGCTTAAATAAACCAATAAACAAATGCCAATTTTTGTTCGTGGAGCAACAACTTGCCACGAGTTCAACGATCAGTTATTACACAAAGAATTCGTCCATTTTACTTTGATGCAAATTGTCAAAGCTCTAGTCTGCGATAGCACGGACTATTAATGACCGAGCACACGCGTATTTCGCATATCGACTTTTTCGATGGTGACGAGATAACCGAACGCAATCGATGCGCATCATTTTTTTTTTCTCCTTCTCGTACCAAGTGTATTATTTTTAATTTAACGAATGTACGACAATATGCATGTTATTGATTTTAAGCGTTTGCTGCCTCGGCCCGTCGATGTATTGGTCGACGAAAGATCGGATGGTACGAGAAAATCGTAATTTGGAAATTGGTTATCGTTTGCTGTCACGATACATTTTGTAAGTGAACTCGTACGGAAACGAAATACCAATGATTAAGGCCGGAAATGGTGTAACGGGAATTGTTTCTGATAAGGCATTACATCGAGATGCGGTTTAGTAGTTTCGCACCTTTCACCATTCCAGGAAAACTATGCAAATTAAATGAGAACACCGATCAACGTATTACTCAATATTTCTTTATTTAGAGTTTACTAGAAATACGAATTATCGAGAATGCGTTACATGTCTTACAATGTAAGACTTACACAGAGCTACATATCGGCGTGTAACGTGAATGGAAATTTATTTATACGTTTCGTACGTAACAATCTATTTACAGATATGAAATACATATATTGCGAAGGCCTTTGCATAAAAAAAAAGAAAAAAAAAAAGGTAAACGTGATGTTCTCACGTACAATGGCCTTCTCTTATTTCTAAAAGAATATGTATACGATACTAATTTTAAAATGTAAACTACTTTTACGTATCACGTAACAATTACAATATACAAAAGATCGAAATTCATCTTCGGGAATGGATAAAAGCAATACGGTGCTACATGGAATGAATTAGTACATCTGAACAGCGTAAAGACAACTAATCAAAGTCGTTCGCGTTATACGTACAGTGTATATCTTGCAGAGTTTATTAGAATAGCATTTATAATACTTCCTTCAACGAATGCTTTGCTACGATAACTATCGTATCGTTCTCTTGTCAACGGTCAAAAATCATGATTTCCGATCTTAAAAAGTGCATTGGAATACAAAGAAAATTTTGTACTACATTCGTGTTCTTTTATATATTAATGAAATCTCGTAGAAGATATTTTAATCTAGCGTACGCATACGCTACGCTTCTACGCGTAACTGGTTTCATTTGCATTCGATAGGTAAAGAAATAGATAATCATCAGAGTTTGTTTTCCTTAGTAAAATTATCTGAACAACTTCTGACGAATATCATCTATGAAGTCGATCGTACAAATCGAAGTAGATTTGCAAAGATAAAAAATTATATGCATCGCTATTATATAAACATATTTTAGGGCGAGACTTTATTAGGCGTGCTCAACCGTAGTCGACGCTAAGAGCACTGAGTCCTTTTTTCTTGATAGCCTCGGCTACGGCTCTTTCTAAAAAGTTCTCCTCCTGGTCACTCTCGTCTACTTTATTCAAATCCCAATCTAGTCCGTTGTATTCTTCCAGATTAGTCGAATCGTTCAGTCTCAAAGAATTGGCAGAAGTAGTAGCTACAGAGTTTCCGAAATTTCCGATTCCTTGAACACGATTAGACGGACAGGAACAATGTACATCGGTCCAATATCCTGGAGCTTTATCACTGTAAAACGCACTGGACTGGGGAACCAATTCCGCGGACTGAACCAGACCGTGATGACGTATCGCCATCATAATCGCCGTGTCTTCCATATCGTTTGCTCTGAACAACTGAAATCTGGATTCCTCGAGAGGATAAGAAGGGGGTGCTCCCATAATATAATTCTCTAAAACTTTGTTAATGATATTGTCCACGAATCCCTTAGCCACTTGGCACGCCTGCCACCTTCTCAACCTTTCCCTCGCAAGCAGTTCTGCCTCGTCGTATTCTATGTTGTCTGTACGTTGAGTAGTCTCATCTTTATCGCTCGAACTCTTTTCCTGTAAATAAAAAACAAATAGAAAAATTGGAAGAAAGATTATTTATACCGCCTAGCAAGGAGACAAGCTATTACACGTACGATGACCAATGAAAAGGATACGATACAATTTGTCGTAAGATGTATTGTAGTACATTATTGTAAACAGAAATGCAGCGATACTCTTTGTATGAAAAATACTATCGGATCATGAATCGATTACAGAGCACAGAAAGTTTCTTTAAGTTTCAGGGTCCCCGTAAGTATAAGGCCCAAACCGAATGGGCTAACTGGCCTTCCCTGCGTACAATTACCGTATCCTGAAACGTCTCGTTGACCTTAACGAATCTTGTGCATTGCCTTTTCGACGGAGTGGGCCTCTCGTGATCATCGGTGTCCGATTCTTCGATGTCGGTCGCCATTTCCTCTATTTTGAACACAACTGTACTAAAAGCTGCGTACGGTTTTCAAAGACTTTAAAGAAAATTCCACAGACCCGTCAGTATTACAGAGGCAATCGTTAAAGGAGAACTCGAGACTTGACCGTAAAAATTCGGAGTATCCGCAGTTCTCTCAGCATCTTCCTTGGAACGGTATTAATTTCACGATACACATTTAAAACACGGATTCGGAGCTTTTGGCGCAATTATGTTTGGTCTCGGTGACGCGAACCAGCCACGATATAAAAATGAAACGGTAATCAACTCCGAGTGTCAGAACACGAAGGAATGTACCGCGCACACAATCAAACAGCGAGTATCGCTTTTGACAGCTTCAAAATGGCTACTTAGCCGTCGGATTCCGCATCGAGAAAAAAGAACGCGTATGCACAGTAGGAATTTCGTGAATTGTCGAAACGAACGAGCGGTCACGACGTTATCTGATAAGAATACGTGCGTTGATCGTGCGCTTATATAAATTCGTTTAAATTCGAATCAATTCGACTGGAGCTGGACGTCTCGGGTGCAGCGGTAGCTCCAAAATGGCGTAAACATGTGTTCACGGTACCCGAGAGAATTTTGACGTCCGTTCTGTCAAGCGTGTCTTTTTCTGTATCGTACGAGGTAAATTCTCTTCGACACTCTCGTTGAACGCGTCAACTGGCATGGCAGTCTGTGGGGAATATATTCGCAGCCAGTTTCCTACGATAGACGACGATTTGTATCAATATGTAGAAGGTATATCTCGGAGGCACTTAACCTATAAATCGCGAGACTGTTTCTCTCTTGCGTTTCGTTCTTCTCTCGAATCTGTCGTATTTCGTTTGCTCGAAGGTATCTTGGACAGCTCGAAGGATGATTTCGAGGACGGCGACGAAGTGTACGAGGCGATAGGAGAGGTATTGCACGAGGTCGCGGATAAACCAGAGAATGAGGTTAGGTCTGTAAACGTGTTCGCACTTGTCACTTTTACCCTATCGTTCGTTAGATCTTTTCTATGTCGGAAATCGTAATCGTGCCGCTGTCGTTGCTCTGTTGAGACACTCTCAAGTAAATATCTAATCTGGAACTGTTTTCTATGTAACTGTTTTCTATAGACAAATATGTGTAAAATTACTGGAAATGCTGAAAGGCAGTACGAACGACGAGATCGTCGAGAAGAGGAAGAATGGAGTTAATAAAGTATTAAACGCACCGGTTCATTTGGGTACCATGGCTGCTACTCTGGAAGCTCAAGTAGAACAGATAAAAAGTATATGGGTCACCACGAGGGATGACGGCATGTTAAGTATTTAGTTTATCATAGAGTTGTATAGACATTGTTTTCTCATAGGATGTACGATAGCGTACGCGTTAAAGTATATTTATCGTTGCATTCGTATTATTCAATAGAAAGTGGATGCTAAGAAATTAGAAAAAGCAGAGGCAAAGTTACAACAGAAGCAGGAGAAACGAGTTAACAACGATTCATCCAGTCGCGTTGGTAGCACTAATCCAGGGGTAGAAGCAGCGAGTGCTAGTCAAATGATGAGCAAAAAGGATAGTAGAATGGAAACCAAGGGCAGTGTAAATAAAACTCAAGATATTAGGATAGAGAATTTCGATGTAGCATACGGAGATAGAATTTTATTACAAGGGGCTGATTTAACCCTTGCTTTCGGTAGACGCTATGGCCTTATCGGTAGAAACGGACTTGGAAAAACCACGTTATTGAGAATGATATCCAGGTATTAAAATTATCTAATATTGATCCAATCTTTTAAATTATTTATTAGAGCATCCTTTATTTAAAGGAGAAATTAAAAGAGACGACGAAAATTGTTTCTTACGCTGTTCTTAATCGTTGCAGTAAACAGTTAAGAATACCTTCTCACGTAAGAGTGCTACACGTAGAACAGGAAGTCGCCGGTAACGATACATCTGCTCTTGAATCTGTGTTGGAGTGCGATCAAGAGAGGAGCCTCTTGCTCAGCAAGGAAGCAGAACTGCAAGCAGCGATAGAGAAAGATGGTGGTAAGGCAGGGGACGTGTTAGACGAAGAATTGCGTAAAGTGTACGAAGCGATGCAGGTTGCCGAAGTAGACAAAGCACCTGCTAGAGCTAGTGCCATATTATCCGGACTTGGGTTCTCCGTCGAAAGACAGTCGTGGCCGACCAAATCCTTCTCCGGTGGTTGGAGGATGAGACTTGCACTAGCGCGGGCGCTATTCTCTAGACCGGACCTTCTGTTGCTCGACGAACCTACGAACATGTTAGACATCAAAGCCATACTTTGGTTAGAAAGATACTTACAATCGTGGCCCACCACGTTGCTCGTGGTTTCGCACGATAGAAACTTTTTAGATACGGTAAGGTACTTAAACAGACTTTTGTTCACGATAAAAAAACGCTATAAGATCATTTTTGTAACAGGTTCCCACAGATATATTATACCTACGCGGACAGAAAATAGAGGCATACCGCGGAAACTACGAACAATTCTCGAAGACGAAAGGGGAACGCGAGAGGAATCAACAGAGGGAGTACGAGGCTCAGCAAGCCAAGAGAGCTCACGTGCAGGAATTCATTGATCGGTTCCGATACAATGCCAATCGTGCTTCGAGTGTACAGAGTAAAATAAAGATGCTGGAGAAATTGTAAGTACGACGTCGCCATGGTGACGAAGATTAGGGTGAACCGAAGGTCATTTCCTATTTTTGTTTCGTTACCAGGCCAGAATTGAAACCAATGGAAAAGGAGGGAGAGGTGACGCTTCGCTTCCCGGACGTGGAACAATTAAGCCCTCCGATATTGCAACTGAACGAAGTGTCCTTCAGTTACACTGGAGGAACCGACAACCCTATATTCACAGGTGTAAATCTTACCGCCAGCTTGCAATCCCGCATTTGTATCGTGGGAGAGAACGGGGCAGGTAAAACGACGCTTCTGAAAATAATAACGGGTACTCTGAGTCCGACGAGGGGCACGGTCCACGTTCATAGAAACTTGAAGTTTGGATACTTTAGTCAACACCACGTCGACCAATTGGATATGCGCGTATGCCCGGTCGAGTTGTTACAAAACCATTTTCCAGGTATGAACAAAACCAAAGTACTCGAGGAGATATTCTAGTCTGACTACGGAAGAAGTAGGGTGTTTTATAAAATGAAGACTAAAAGGGGAAACCACGATACAAATTTAGTTACGTTCCCTAGGTAAACCCGTCGAGGAATATAGGAGAATGCTGGGGAGCTTTGGAATAAGCGGTAACTTAGCTTTACAGACTATAAATTCTCTGTCTGGTGGACAGAAGTCGAGAGTCGCCTTCGCGTTAATGTGCGCCGCCATGCCAAACTTTTTAGTGCTCGACGAGCCCACGAATCATCTCGATATAGAGTCGATCGAAGCTTTAGGCAAAGCGCTGAATACCTGCCAAGTAAAATATAATCTTTGACGTCTATCGATACCGATTCGTATTTTTATCAAATATATCGACATCGTGATATTTTCAGGCTGGCGTGATATTAGTCTCGCACGACGAAAGGTTGATTCGCATGGTGTGCACCGAGCTCTGGGTATGCGGTGAGGGTTCCGTTAGATGCATCGAGGGAGGATTCGACGAGTATCGTAAGATCGTTGAGAAGGAACTCGAAATGTAAAGACTATTTTAATTTAATCGCGCTATCGATTCGCATTGTCCCGTGTCGAGTTACCGATTTCAATATTTCGATGAATTTAAATAAATGCAAACGTACGCCGAGGCGCGTTCGATCCTTCGTTTTGGGGCAATGCACCTTTTGATTTGTTCATCGATGTAGATATTTATCAGCCACGAAAACATTATACTGCCTATTTTAAATAAAACTGAGTGCATTGAGAATTATTGTTTATAATATATATTTCATCGTCAACATAAAATCTGCGAGATAGACTGAGTTATCGACGAGTTCACAAGTAGGATTAGAAGATTATCACATCGTTTGACTGCCAGATACAATAACTACATCTAAAGAATTCTGATATTTAATATTGTACATTAGTAAATAATAAAGAGTCGTTGTTATAAATAAAAGTATATAACATTCTAGGTTTTCTTTTTTTTTTATATATATATATATAAAACCGTTGGAAGATTACATTGATAAATATACATGATTAATTAGTCGAAGAAATCATACTGTTTCGTATGGTTTTAATTGAAATATACATGGTTTCAGAAAGCAACGTGTTAGAATGTAATGCAGTCTTGTACCGCAATAACTCACGTTAGAATCGATGATAAAATCAATATAATAATTTGAATTAATTAATCACTTTTTAATACTATTATTTCAGCTCTCTTCCGTATCCGATTTCATCGTTTATTTCATTTATTTCCATATCGTTTCAGTTACGCTCCGAAAGTTGAGAAAACTAACGTGTCACGTAATAAATAAAACAAATTTAATGTCCCAAAAGAGTTGCATTGCATTGCCACGGTTAACCACCGGATGTAGTGTTTAATGGTACCATTGTATTGGATAAAGAAGACGTTTGCATAGGTGGTGCGGGTGCCTGTTGTTTGGCCGCTGGAATTTTCAAACATTTACATTACTTTTCTCTCGAAGAGCGTACGTTTCGATTACATATACAAGGTGTAAAGAAATAATTCAGCTGGGCAAGCATAGGCATATTTTACATCTTCGATGAAGATCTCGAAAAAAAGGTTGCCACAAAATTGTCCTTGACATTGAATTTCACGGTCATGGACAATCTTGTTGCAACTTTTTCTTACAGATCTTTCCGAAGATGTAGAATATGCCTATGCTTGCCAATACCAAACATTTCTTTACACCCTGTACCTTTATCGATTGCTACAAGCATTAGGAAGCATGCAGATGATCCTTGAAAATCAGCCAACCCAATCAATGATCAACGACTCTGTTTACACATTCGTGCATGCATCTATTGTCGCTAATTTTTGGTAAGCTAGAGCCAGCGATTAAATTAATTAAGAGGAACACCACGAAGACGACTTTACTAATAAATTTCTAGATACTCTATTTTTATTTAGATCTCTATCTTCGAAGTGTCGTTTTCCCTCAAGTTATCACATACACAGTCACAAATCTCAGTGTCGTATATCTTTATTTCAGACTTATATTCTGTGCGATGAAAATTTACATACTTCAATGTCATAATTTACAGACGATAGTTTCATTCATGCATGTAAATCGTGT